AAACAAAGCAGACTGTGGATTACAAGAGGAAATCACGGAGAAATCGTCGATTTCCCCAAACGGAACACACATAGCACAGAATATATTCTTATAGTTCCTGTATTTGAAATTATACATTGACGAACACCCTTTCATTACATCTGTATCATTAAAATTCAAGCTGCACTTTCTAATAAGATTTTCTTGGGGTAATACTTGAAGATCCATACTGGGAGGAATGTGCGCCATCAGACAAGCTTTGAAGTCTGATTTGACGGTTTCTAGAACTTCTTCCCAGGACGAAACATAGAAGATGGATATGTTACAGCTCTTGCTGAAAGAAATCTTCCAAAACGCAAGCTTGTTTTCCCGTTCTCTATGACATAAGGCACAATACTTGTTCCAGTAGACCATCTTACTCCTTAATGATGTACAGGGTGGGGCGAAAATACGTTCCAGGGGGGTCCTAACTTTTTCGCATTTCTCGCGTTGGCTCGACGATGCATTAGTAGGACACTTGTCAATAAATTTCATCTGTATTTGGTGTTCCATATTGTATGGCTTAAAGAATAATAAGGATCTAAGGGAACGATGATGTTTGAATTTTTTATCCGGTTGGTAATGATTGAAATACTTGTCCGGGCAACAGTTTCCATTAAAATAACACAAGTCGTCACAGGAACAAGGCGGACAGTTCGGGAACCTGGCTTTTGTGACGTACTTAGAGTGGACATTTATTGTATCGTCACATAAATAACCGAAACCACAGACATTTATGTAATGTCTTAACAGATTGGTGGTATTTATCCCATTATCAGCCGGTGGTAGAATTGTAAAATCTGAGGATGCACTGAGAAACCACAAGACAGTGCTAAGAAGAGTTAACTCCCTTAATTTTATTTTCTGAATCTCCATATGTAAAGTTGTTCTGTTTATGTTTTTGTTGCTGTTCCTAGTCTTTTAAGTCTGGTTTATGTAGCAAAAATCATGCTGGTCTATAAAGACACATAAATCTTACACTTTTGTATTAGGTGGAAACAAATGGGGAAAAATGATACAATTAAAACTGCTTCAATAAATGATACGAAGCTGAAGATTTTCACGCCATACTTCTTATTTTAAACATTCAATTTGAAACACATCGTTTCCCAACTTTTCAAAATAAAATATTTACAAATATTTACATGATTGTTCTAAAATGATAACTTAGCAATTTAACTTATTCTAATAAATCTATCTATCATGATGTGTTATGAATCATCTAGTGAAATTCTCGGAATATAGTTCCATCACAAATATGAAGATTTGTTGTTTTTTTTTCTGTTTCGAACTTTTAATGTCTTTCCGTCATTTTAAATACTGGTATATATGTCATAACAGACGAATGTCATAAACCCTTCTTTTCGTAGAACTTTTAATTTAAGTCTGATACATTGTTTTCTTTTTTTTACATTAGTTTTCCTAACATTCCCGCATGTGTAAAAACATAAAATACCGCAGGTATAGAAATTATTTATGTACATGTTGTATAAATATATAGTAATCGAATAAAGTAAACTAAACTTACCCCACCTCTTTCCCTCATCTAAAATCAATTGCTACCAGAGTCCTTGTTTATATTAAATATCTACTATTAATTATTCATAAATTAAGACACTCGTGTCATTTAAATGTTATAGATTGGAGGTACACTCTACACTTGGGATTGCGGTTATTGGTCTTTCTGCAGGACAGCATTATTAAAATCAGTTTAATGGAATTGTCATTTCGATTTACTCATTATAAATGTCCCGGGATTAAGAAGGGAAATAATAGGGTATATCGATCAGCTTTCGCTAAGTACACAACCTTGGCGATGTAAATAAATCTTAGATTGATATCGAGAAATTAATTCCTGTCGCGGTATATCTGGGCATACTTAGTATACGACTCTCCTAAAATACAGCGCGTTTATAAAAAAACAAAATATTTAAGTATTTTTTATTTCTTACATGGGATATGAACAATTACAAATTATACCTGTAACTGGCAAAAATTGTTATTTATCGTGCCAACGCCTACCGTGACACGGGTCCTCGGTTTTTAAGGTCTCATCCGAAGGACCCGCAACTTTCACTTCAAAGTGCCGGGCGCTTGGCGAAGGAACAGTCCCTACCTATGTTTATGTTTTAGGTTTGGTTGTAGTATTAAATCATTCTGGTTTTAATAAGTATTAATATCAAAAGTAGATTATAAACTTCAGTTCTCATATTTTCCAAAAGATTTTACATGAGCCAATATATAAGAAAAAGACACGGCAATTTCGTATTGCGTAACTATGTAATCTACGATGAACTGTTTTTGTTTTGTGGTCACGGTTCAGTCTCTCCAATAATTTTAGTATTATGTATAGCTATTTGTACGTATTTAATTTTTTCTTTATTTAGCTAGTGTTAATTCTCAGTAACCGCATTTTTAACGTAGTTTACACATCAGAAATAGCATTTTGTCCTATACTTTATTGTTCTAACCTTCATCTATATTTACATTTGAATTTAGCATTACCCTTAGAAAAATACTATAGTTAACTATGGCTTCATAGTGTCAAAGTTATCACTATAGTGAATCAAAGTTTTCATTCATAGTGTCGAAGTTATCGCTATAGTAAATTAGGGTATCTTAGAAAATTGAGAAATGCACATAAGTAATTTGTAAATAGTTCAACCCCATTCTTTGATTAACTTTTAACAATGGGTGGATTAATTTCCAACTCCGTAAATACTTCGTGAATATTTTTATTGTTTCTAGGAAAATGAAAGACTTAAAAAAATTACGAGCATTGGAAATTTATTCATTAAGGAGTGTGTATATGTTTTATGCATTAAGGAGTGTGTATATACGGAAGCCGGTAGGTGCCAGGTAGAAAAATGTTTTATCTGGCGGCCGCCACATAAATAACTGGCGGCCGCCAGATCTATTTATCTAGCGACCGCCAGTTATTTATTTGGCGGCCGCCAGACAAAATATTTTTTCTACCTGGCACCAACCGGCTTCCGTATGTATGTGTTTTAAACCAAACACAAATTCTTTAATTACATTGAATTCCTTTGTCCGTGATAATTTGTACTATACGGAATATACTTATATAATTTTTCCTTATGTTTGGTGCTTCAGAAGACTCCAGTGACGAGTCGGTAGATGCTCATAAAGGGGCAAATATGCACTGCAACCATGCCAACACTACGGACGCACTAGTAACAAGTGTATTAAAGACAATGTAAGATACTCATATATATAGAGAGCGAGAGAGAGAATTGCAGCTCGTAATCATTTTTTCATATATTTTTTTTATTTTTATTAGACAAAACAGCGCTGAACCAATAAAAATTCTGCAAACTTACCAGGATGTATTCTGTTTAAGTTAATATCTTCAATTTCATGGTTTATTCTTTGAGAGCACACTAAAGAGTTCTGATTCTGTGTCTGAAGTTTAAGTTAACTGCCGTTCGATCTAAAATGATATAAATGAAATCTGATTTTGCAATATATCACTCAGTCTGTAAGCAGTTCAAGCAATTTCAATATTTCATTAGGTAAAAAAACTTTTGACCACTCTGTTTGCACGTCTTTTTCACACTGAAAAAAAAAAAACGACAACAGCGATTTCTGTTGTTGTCAGTACTTTGTTTGTTTGTTTTTTTTTTTTTTGTTTTTTTTTTTAACATTTTTCCTGGTGGTAAATGGCTTGTATTCTGTGTTGAAATAGAAATATGCTCAATATTGACACTTTTATGTCCAAATATTCTTTTGCTTTAGTAGATTAGAGGATTATTAAGCATTTAAGTACTTTGTTTACTTTATTTACAACATATTTAAATCAATTCAAGAAAATTTCAAATATTTATAGAGTATATGCTTTGAAATATGCTAATATATATGGAACTTTTCTAATATCTAAAACATCTATTTTCTTCTAAAGTAGCTGCAGCAAGAAAAGCCTCCAAGAAGACACTAGCATTCCAGCAAATCAAAACGGAAGTGCTTGGTGTTTTAAGGAATGCCCCCAATAAGCCAGGATGATCAAATTACATCAAGGTAATACATGTAAATTTTAAATAGTAGATTGTTGGTTATACTTAATATAAATCAAATGTTATTTTAATTGTATATTATACATTATTTCTGAACAAAAAATTCATTCTCTTTGTGTTACAAGTTTTAAGTTACTCTGCTCTTTTCATTACTACATGAGAGCAAGCCCACCATTGATAGGACTTTAATTAAAGACGTTAAAAATGATTCAACCTGTTACGATTTCAAAATTTGATTCATTTGCATATGTTTACATTCCATATGGAGTGTGAGGAAAGCTATGGCAATCAGGGGCTCGAAAGGTTAAAGAATGCATTTTTTATGTCACAAACGTTATAAAATGTTTTCCAGTCATATTTCAAAAATATTATTACAAAACATTTCAAAAATTATTTAAACATAATTAATAAACCATACAAAATCACGCGATTAAAACATTTCTAAAAATGTTTTTGCAACATTTTAAGAAAATGTTCTTATAACATTTGGTGAAACATTATGCTAAAACGTTTTAAAAACATACATCACGTGATTAAAACATTTTTAAAAATGTTTCTGAAACAATTTGAAAATGTTCTTAAAATATTTCAATTTTTTGTGGTAGCTGGGTTATTGACATTTTTTGTTTATACAAAAATTTAATATATAATTTTTTGCTTCATATAAATATGTGTATTACGTATTTATTTTCCTCACTAATTAATATTTAATAAAGTAAGTGAGAAAAGATATATATTTTGTTTTTTTTACTTATGTTTACGTATTACTGTATTTTTTGCAGAATTAGTAACCCCCAAAGATATGAGCTGTCGGAAAAAGAGTGAAGGGAGGAGGAGGACGGACCTTTATTGGATATGGAGATACAGTCATGTTGATGGAGAATAGTCCATGCAGCATGGCTTTATGCTTCGTGCCATGTTGATTGAGAGCACCTCACAGAGCACGTCTTCATGCGCCATATCTATGGAGAATACCCATTGCAGTACAGTTTCAAGTTCCATGTCGATGGAGAATACCCATTGCAGTACAGTTTTAAGTTCCATGTCGATGGAGAATACCCATTGCAGGACAGTTTCATACACTTGTCGACAGATGACAGCTTATACTACGCAGATTCGTGTACGATGCCGACTGTAGGTTTTCCATTGGAGCATGAAGTTAACACTCTTCGTGAGCTAGTTGAAAGCTTAAGAGTAGACTTATTGCAAACGTTCATGTGAGGTACATGTACGTATAAAAAGATCACATGAAAAAAAATAGAAACTTAACATTCGTATATAAGTTTTCAACGTTTTGAAGAATTCGTGTATTGATTGAATATTGTTTTACGTCCCGTTGTTAGAAGATGAATCCTTGTTCCAGTAACCACATCAAGTAAAATGGGTCAATCAAATGGCGCTAGTACACAAAGCGAATGGAAAACTGAGAATTTGTCTTGATCTGCAAGCTTTAAACACGGCATTATTGCGTGAACATTACAAACTACGAGTTCTTGATGAACGTACTACCTAAACTTCAGAAAGACAAGTTGTTCAGCAAATTGGATGTCAAAGAAGCCTATTGGCATGTAAAACTGGATGAGAAGTCGAGAATGTTTACATCCATGATTATTCCGTTTGGTAGATACAAATGGTCTAGACTACCACTGAAAGTCTCCAGTGTAATTGATTGAAGCTCTTGATGACATTGACACCAACGCACGACCTTCCGATCACGAAAAAATGTGTATATATTTAGTGGATGTACTCTGATATTATCTTTGAATCCAGATGTATTGTTATTTTTTTCAAAATCAAAAGTGTAAACATTTAATTATATATATTTACATTTGCTGTGTTTTTCTACTTAGCCAACTGTGATTGATTGATTGTTGTTTAACGTCCCTTTCGAGGTTTTTTTCATTCATATGGAGACGCCACCACTTGCCGGTGGAGAGCTGCAAATTTTTATCCTATACTCGGCACTTACGACCATTGAGCAGTGAGGGATCTTTTTCGTGCCAGCACCTACTGCGACACGGGACCTCGGTTTATACGGTATCATCCGAAGGACCGGTCTCCACGTCCCACAGTGGGATTCGAACCCGCGACGTAAGGATCAACTCCTTACTTCGCGACTCTAGAGCAGACGCTCTAACCACTGCGCCACGCGGGCGACTAGCCAACTGTGAAATTGATTTGAAAACCATTTTTGTGTATACTCACGAGTAGAAATATACACGGTGAAACTCGCGCTAAAGTGACGTCACAATGAGGCTACAGAGACGTTAATAAAAATATGACGATATGAGTATATTTTTGATGCATGTAAGCATGTAAAATGTAAGTATAAGGAATGTTTTTAAGTTTAGTGTGAATTATTGGTGTGTAAATCACACAGACTTGCACGTAGGCATATTTTTCATGAAGCGCTAGCGGATGCAATAGTTTTGTACAATGTGTATTGATGAAAATGTATGTCAACTCGGACAAAGTCGGGGAGACATATTGTTATTGTTCGACAAATAACGCAGTCCGCAGTTTCTCAAAGGTGGCTCTGTCAATCTTGATGAAACTGCACTGTCATAATAATCACTAACAAAAGATATGCAATCTTTATTTAAAATTTTCAAAATGGCCAGTGTTGCCATAGAAACTGATGAAAAGTGGTATTTTTTAATTTCGTCATGCACGAATGCTTTTAATATACTCTTTTTAAAAATTCAAAGAAGTGTTTCTTGCGTCCTGTCAAAAAACTTAAGGCGAAAACAATGGCGAAGGATGGACGGAAAATACGATCAATTTAAGGAAAGTTGATGTCACGTCACCAATTATGTGATTTATTAATTGTATAACAGACTTGTATTGATAATGTAGTGGAGATAAACAACAAGGCTGTTACTTCGGGTATTAACAAGACGGTCTCTTATTTGATGGATACATATTAAGTTATTCAGAAAGAAACCCATTCAATGGGAATGAGTCATAGCAGCACATACATAAGCTGCATACACTAGACAGACAGCTAGGGACATAATATCAATATCATGCAAGTGGATATACAAGTCTCAATGTCAAAGGTCTTATATGAAAACTGGAAAAGCTCCGTCACCAAGACATGATCATAACTTTCCAGTGCTAAATCCGAATAAATCAAAAACACAAAGAAAACTTGGAGGGAAAAACAAAATCCAATCCAAAAGCATAAGACAAAAAAAAAAAAAAAACAAAAAAAAAAACGATGAAATTGAAAGATGGCCAGAATATGAATAGAGAGCCCTGAGGCTAACTCTGGACCTCTCTGGAAAATAACAATTTAAAAGTCAGTACACTTAACTACAGATTATATGAATATTTGTATGATTCAGCTGTAGAAGTCTGCTGCAAATAACAAGGGGCCCAAGGGCCTTAACGGTCACCTGAGTACAATACAACAATTTAGAGGATCCATAAACTGATAAATGAAGCTTTGTTCCCCAAAAGCAAGAAAAATAGTATGATTGGCATCAATAAAATAATTGGTCTAGTATCTATGAAATATATGGAGATAACGAACAGTATTCAAGCTCAAAAGTCCATTAATCAATACAAAATAGGAGCAGGGCAAACATCAGAGGTGGGATCAGGTGCCATGGAGGAGTGAGCATCCCCTGCCGACCGGTCACACCCGCCGTGTGCTCCTTGTCATGATCGGGAAATAATATGTATCTGTACCCCATTTATCACTATTACCATGCAGACTATTTAACAAAATGTCTATTTTTTAACCCCATATTATTATTCCTCACATTGGCCTCTCTTGGCCTTTGAAGAACATTTAAAATTTTGTCTCATTTTGTATTCATCTATATTTTCCAGATCATTAAAACTATGAAAGTACTTTTTGTATTATGCAACAAATATTCTTGCATAATTCTCGTATTCTGTTAACCTTTCAAATACATTGTTTACAGTGATTAATTATCAAAGGCGAATGGCAAAGGGAAATAACTTTGCTCAGCAGAATACAAGTTAATAGAGCCCTGGCCAGGACCAGAACACTTGACTAAATGGTCAAGGTGTTCAAAATTCTGGTAAAAATATCTTTGCATATTAAAACTTCTACTCTGTTTGTTTTGAATATGCCCAGGAGCATAGAAGATTTTCAAAGAAATGCATTTTCACTATATTATTAAATAAATAAAGCCCCACCCTTACACCAGAACATCTGACACAGGGGCCATGAACTCACAGTTCTGGAAGAAGCACCCTTGCTCATTACAACTATACACTTGTTTCTTTGCTTTATAACCAGTAGTAGAAAAAATATTTTGAAAGAAATTATGCATTTTCACTATATAACCAATAGAGCCCCCCCCCCTCTTCACCAGAACCCCTGACCCTGGGGCCATGAATTTCACAATTTAGGAAGAGGCATTCCTCCTTATCATAACCATGCACTTCCTTTGTTTAAATAATACCCAGGAGCAGAGAAGAAAATTTTGAAAGAATTTATGCATTTTCCTTATATAATCAATAGAACCCCGCCCTTACATCAAGAACCCTTGACCCTGGGGCCATGAAATTCACAATTTTGGAAGAGGCAACCATGCTCATCATAACTCATCGTCATTGTGTACCTAAATTATTTAATATCCAGGATCCGGTTGTATCAATATTTAATGAGTGATTAAAGCTTCATTAAACTGATCATTTTTAATGTGTCATTAAATTCCGTTGTATCAATCTTTTAATGAACGAATCGGTGCATTAAAGCTTCATTAAACTCCTCAACTTTAATGAAGGTAAGGGGGCTTCATTAAGTGGTCATTAAGTATGGCGGCCAGCCTTATGTTTTGCCAGCTAGGCAGACGGAGAAATGACAGAGTCTTTCGTGAGCGTTTTTCACTGCACACTATGGACGATGAGGAAATTCGGAAATGATACCGTTTCCGTAAAGAAAATATTGGACGGCTTGTCACATTACTGGAACCTTCACTAAGGCATTCCACAAATAGATCGCACTCTTTGTCAACAGAATTACAGGTATAAACATGCTTATTTCCGTAAAAAATCAAATTATTGATAAAAAAACAAATTAGAAATTCCCACTGCGTCAATGCATAGGCCTAATCATTCACTGAATCCAAAATAGACTTTGTTCAATTTGTGACGTCATTTCTTTCGTCATCATCTATGAGGCGGATCTAATATTGTATACATGTACTGTTGATAAAAGCAGAAAAGCGGGACAGATCTAAATAAGTATTATCAACTAGAGCAGAGCTCGTTGCAAAGCAACGAGTAGGTCTTCCGTTGGAGCTGCGAACAGGAAGAAGTGACCTTGAGTCAAGGTCATGCCACATTCTAAGGTTATAAGCAATCTTGTAAGGGGTATCAACTTGCAATGTCTCACCAGTAGAAAGACAGTTAAGGAATGTTGTTTTTCCGTTGATGACCTTGAACTCGTTCAAATGACCTTGCATCAAACCATGACACACTCTGGTTATAAGCAAACCCCATCTTTGTGTTACCGACTCGACAAGTTAACACATGTTCTTTCAGACCATTCATCCAGTCAAAACATTCTTTCCTTAGTGACCCTAAATTTAATCAACATGGCCGTAGGAACCGAGGGAGGGGGGGGGGGCGTGCCCCCAATAATTTTGCCGATATATAGATTACTATAGTAGACATAGATACTATAGCTTGTGCCACCTCGATAGAAACGTCTGATAACCTTCTTTTTTTTGCTTGTCAAGGAATTTTTGGTAGTTGGTGACCTTTTTTTTGCTTGTCAGGAAATTTATGGTAGTAGTGCCCCCTCAACTGTCAACTGAAAATGTATGGCTGTGCCCCCCCCCCCCCAAAAAAAAAAACCTCTGAATTTGCTTCCTATGGGCCTGATCAAGGCAATGATACACTCTGTATGATATCAGCGATACCCTTTTGTGTGTTTCGCAGTTGACAAGTTCACAGTTTGCATTTATTGCATGATAGTGAGGGAGACATGAAGATTTCTTCGCCCATAAAAAATCATATTCCCCGAGGGCAACTTGAAGATTTCTTCGCCCATGAAAAATCATACTCCCCGAAGGCAACGCCCGAGAGAAATATGATTTTTCATTTGCGAAGAAATCTTTATGTCTCCCTCACTATTATGCAATAAATTGTTT